TTCTGGTGCCACAACAAACTACACATCCCAGAATTCCATAGCATGGAGCCACAGCAGTTAAAGTGAAGTCAACTTGGATTATTTCTGCAGTGTGGATGCAGCCTAAGGAGGTGTTAGCAGTACCGGGATATTAGGTTCTGCCCTAACAAGAGGGAAACCCAGTAATCTTGCAAGAATCTGATAGGAAGAAGTGCGAAATATATTTAATAGAACATTTTACTGGCTATTTTCTGGAGCTTCTTGTTGTTTTCCTTGTCGAAACATTTTATTGTGGATCTCACTTTTAAATAAACAGCGGAATGGGCGCGAAAGCTGGATAACCTGTCTGTGGGTTGCATCTGCACTTTAGAAATAATGCAGTTTGATGCCACTTTAACTGCCTACAGAATCCTGGGACCTATAGTTTGGTGAGGCCCCAGCATGCTTTGGCAGAGAAGGGGAAAGACCTTGCAAAACTACCAAGCCCAGGGTTCCATAGGATGGAGCTACAGCACTTAAAGTGGTATCGAACTGCATTATTTCAACAGTGTAGATGCAACCCAAGTCATCTGAAACAAAAGGTCTCAAAACCCAGCCAAGTCCAGCACCTAAAATCCCAACTTCCTTTAAAGATGTTGACAAACCCCTTTGGATGCTATTTCCTTCCAAAATAAATATGGTTATCCTATGCTCCTTTAATTTTTGCAAGCTGTGTTCCTTAATCGAATTATGTTTAACATGTGTTTTTTTTTTGACAGGTATATACATTTTATGTTCTCTTTTCTCTAATGTGTAAATGCTTGTGAAGAATTTTTCTGTACTTTCAGACAGTTTTCCATCACACAGAATTTCTGCATGTATTTATTAATGTATGCAACTTTAAGTTCAGTTTCCTCTAATATACACATTTCTGTACAATTTTTTAATGCTCAGAGAACCGCATCACATTCTGAGGTGTGTGGATATGAATGAAAAATTGTGTTCTTGACGGTTCACCTATTAATTCAGAAAGTGAAAATTAGTACATTTTCATCAGAATGGTGAATTCAACAAAATCCATCCATACGTGTGTATATATATATATATATATATATATATATATATATATATATAGTCTTGGCCCTTTCAAACAGCTGAGAATATTATTCAGACTCTTTCTGACTGGTGTATCTGCACACACCAGTTGTATGAGTTTCATATCACTTTAATTGTCCTGGCCACTACCTATGGAATTCGGGATTTGTAGTTTAATGAAGCATTCTCTCCTAGGGAGTTCAGGGTGCATCTACAATGTAGAAATTATGCTGTTCGACACCATTTGAATTGCCATGGCTCCATCCTACAGAATCCTGGGATTTATAGTTTGCCGAGACACCAACACTCTTGCGCAGAGACAGCTACAGACCTTGCAAAACTACAAATCCCGGGATCCCATAGGATGGAGCTACTGCACTTAAAGTGGTGTCAAACTGCATTATCTTTACAGTGTAGATGTACACTCCTCACCAAACTGGATGGAGCCATGACAAATAATAATAATAATATTAATAATTCTGACTTATATCCTGCCTTTCTCCCAGTGCAAGGACTCAAATTAAAACTGTTATGAAACTGATATAACCAGGTAGCATAGATACGCTTCTCTTTCATTGAGGCAGAGATGGTGGACGCACAATGCCGGCATCTCCATGGAATGGGAAGGAAATCAAATAAAAAGAATTTAGAAATTCAAGAGAATTTGCTTTAATTGTGCCCTGTGTTGTGTAACATGAACAATTCCCCTCCTCATTTTTTCTGGGGTGGTGGTGTATGTATTCCAGATATGTGCTCCATTTTGCACAGGTTCCGCTGCAGGGAACTAAGGACGGAGGGGAAAAAAAAAGAAAGGGACAAAAGGTCGGAAAAAATGGAGTATGGACATTAAATAGCTTTGAGGGCTGGAAAATATACAGCACTAGTGTCGTATAGGCTGCATCTGCCCTGCAGGAACAATCCGTTTTGGGCCCACTGTAATTGCCACGACTCAATGCTATGGAACTCTGGGAACTCTGGCGCCGCAACAAACTACAATTCCCAGAATTCCATCACATTGAGCCATGGCAGTCAAAGTGGGGCCAAAATGGATTATTTCCGCCGTGCGGATGCAGCCATACTACCGCAGACAGTTCCATCTCTTCTGAAGGGCATTTGGAGGGAAGGGAGGCCGAAGGCAAACTCTGTCTCCAGCATGGCCTCAACCGTGGTGGCCCCTTCCTTATTTCGCTTCCCAGCATTCCTCACTTTCTCCGGCCAATTTGGGCCATCAGCTGGGCGTTGGCGGCCGCCTTGGCCCTCAGGTTCTTTGCCTTGGCAATGTTAAAGAGGATGTTCATGATGTTGGTGGGGACGTCGAGGGAGAGGGTGAACTTTGTACGCCGGTCACTCTTGGCAAGGCCTGGGATGACCTTGCCCTTGCCCTGGACCTGGGCCAGGGATACGTAGCGGGTGACCCCCGGGTACGTCCTTTTCTCCTTCTCCTCCTCTTCCTCCATCTCCTCTTCCTCATCCTCCGAGGAGGTCTCCTCTTCTCCCCCGGACTGGAAGACAAAGCTCCTCTTCTCCAGAGGGGAGTTCTCGCCCCCGAGGGCACGGTTGGCATCCGAGAGAGCGGCGTTGATGCAACTGTAGACGGATTCGGCTTTGTAGAGCTTGAGGAAGAGGCCTCTCCTGGCTGCGAGCAAAACCAAGAGGAGGATCAGGAACCTGGGCTGAGCCATCGTCCCTTCCACCCTAGAAAAGAGAAGAGAAGGGCTGTAAGTTTACTGGGACGGAGCGCACACATTATTTATGAAAGTCTGGCGTTA